GAAAACTATCCCTTCTTGGCCAGGAAATCGCTGGAATCGCAGGCACAAATGCCGGGAAAAGCGCCTGCGATAAAAGTTTCTGCGCCATTTTCCACCTTTCTTTATGTAGATGTGGCCGCGTGTTTGTGTGTCCTGGCTTCAGAGTATTTGTTGCCGCCTTTTTGGGGCTACGCATGAGTCCGGTGCTCCGGCAGTCGCAAACAGTAATGCAGCCCATAAACCAGGCGGCAAATGCAATGATATTGCCAATGGCCGTGGCCGTGTTTAATCTGCCAGCCGGAGTTAATATGCCTGCCGCAATGCAGTGGCAGACGTACTGAAAATTGGGGACTGGCACTGGCTTTTCCCCCATTTTCTTGCCAGTCGGCACAAATTTTCGCTTAGCCCCGAAACGAAACTGTTGCGAAATGCCGGATTCAGATGTGATCTACGCTGGTAATATTCACTGGAGGTAAGTAAATTTAAGGTTTAATTTACCTAACTGAGAACTTAAAGGTATATTAACTTAAATATGTAAGAATGTCAACTCTCAAGCGACTTGGATAATCAGGAAACGTACAAACGTAAATAGGTGCTTGTTTCATTTAATTAAATTGAAACAAATAAGAAATATAACACGGCTACTGTGTAAAAGTATTAATTAGCTCTGCCCTAAAAGAATTCCCTCATCTCTGCCATAACAGCCAATTAAATTCAGCAGTGCGCCATTATTCTGCAAAACGACATATCCATATCGCGTCTAGCCTTAGCCCCGTGTGTAAACTAATGCTCAATTATTTACTACTATAAGCAAACTTTGATTAGCTATCGCTTGAACTACCCGTCGATGATTTATTTCACCCGAAATTTTGTTAATTAAAACTCTCCACTTCGCTGCGGGGAGCAGCATATTGATTTTCGCTGTTCGGATTGATGGGTGGTGCTACTGTCGATGACTTTATGGTCTCGACTATAACCACAGTTATGGTTATGGATGTGCGGTGAGATAAGCTGATAAACCATCCCATCTCGCGCCCTTATAAATAGAAGTGGATAGTTCCGATGCCGCGTAAATGAATCGGAAATGTCATCCAAGAAGTGTGAGCCGCCGCCGTTGGACTCGCTTGCCACCACCGAAAAGGCCACCTTTCTTCGTTTGGGCCACAAAAACCACTCCCAGTGGACCGCCCTCGGGTCCGCCTCCTTCATCCTAATCTCTGGCGGAATGAGTTTGGCATGGGGCTCCGGATTCGCCGTTCACTCCGCCCATCGGGACCAACTCCTGCGGACCGTGCACATGCAAATCGCCTGGTATGCAACTGCCGTGCTTGGAGCTCTTTTTGGAGCATTTTACACTCACCGACTGCCCCAGCAGCCCATTTATGTGAGTAAATCAGAAAAATAGTTAATAGTTAGCAATCTATTTTTTACAATTTTTTTGCAATTTTTTTGATGTGATGATGTTGTGGAAATTCAAAAAAATGAAGAAATGCCCTACGGCTGAAGTTCTGACCTCCATAACTCAACTTATCTTAATCGGATTTTCAAGTGGCATACCTCTAAATGTTTCTGGGACAATTCTCTAAACAACTGCATTCAAATTTAGAAATTTATTTTTTGTACAATTTTTTAGCAATTTTTTTGATGTGATGATGTTGTGGAAATTCAAAAAAATGAAGAAATGCCCTACGGCTGAAGTTCTGACCTCCATAACTCAACTTATCTTAATCGGATTTTCAAGTGGCATACCTCTAAATGTTTCTGGGACAATTCTCTAAACAACTGCATTCAAATTTAGAAATTTATATTTTTACAATTTTTTTGTCATTTTTTGATGTGATGATGTTGTGGAAATTCAAAAAAATCAAGAAATGTCATAAGGCTGAAGTTCTAAGCTCCATAACTCAACTTATCTTCATCGGATTTTGAAGTGGCATACCTCTAAATGATTCTGGCGCAATTCTCTAAAAATCTGCATTCAAATTTAGAAATTTATTTTTTTACAATTTTTTTTGTCATTTTTTGATGTGATGATGTTGTGGAAATTCAAAAAAATCAAGAAATGTCATAAGGCTGAAGTTCTAAGCTCCATAACTCAACTTATCTTAATCGGATTTTCAAGTGGCATACCTCTAAATGTTTCTGGGACAATTCTCTAAAAATCTGCATTCAAATTTAGAAATTTATTTTTTTACAATTTTTTTGCAATTTTTTTGATGTGATGATGTTGTAGAAATTCAAAAAAATGAAGAAATGCCCTACGGCTGAAGTTCTGAACTCCATAACTCAACTTATCTTAATCGGATTTTCAAGTGGCATACCTCTAAATGTTTCTGGGACAATTCTCTAAAAATCTGCATTCAAATTTAGAAATTTATTTTTTTACAATTTTTTAGCAATTTTTTTGATGTGATGATGTTGTGGAAATTCAAAAAAATGAAGAAATGTCCTAAGGCTGAAGTTCTAAGCTCCATAACTCAACTTATCTTAATCGGATTTTCAAGTGGCATACCTCTAAATGTTTCTGGGACAATTCTCTAAAAATCTGCATTCAAATTTAGAAATATATATTTTTACAATTTTTTTTGCAATTTTTTTGATGTGATGATGTTGTAGAAATTCAAAAAAATGAAGAAATGCCCTAAGGTTGAAGTTCTAAGCTTCATAACTCAACTTATCTCAATCGGATTTTGAAGTGGCATACCTCTAAATGTTTCTGGCGCAATTTTCTAAAAATCTGCATTAAAATTTAGAAATTTATATTTTTACAATTTTTTTGCAATTTTTTGATGTGATGATGTGGAAATTCAAAAAAATCAAGAAATGTCCTAAGGCTGAAGTTCTAAGCTCCATAACTCAACTTATCTTCATCGGATTTTGAAGTGGCATACCTCTAAATGTTTCTGGGACAATTCTCTAAAAATCTGCATTCAAATTTAGAAATTTATTTTTTTTTAATTTTTTTGCATTTTTTTTTGATGTGATGATGTAGAAATTCAAAAAAATGAAGAAATGCCCTACGGCTGAAGTTCTGAACTCCATAACTCAACTTATCTTAATCGGATTTTCAAGTGGCATACCTCTAAATGTTTCTGGCGCAATTCTCTAAAAAACTGCATTCAAATTTAGAAATTTATTAAAAAAAATTTTAATTTGCAGATTTTGGCCTCCGTCTTGGTTATCGCATCCGGAACACTATTTCTGGCTTGGCCAGAGTGTCCAGGTGCCATTATAGCCGCCCGGTATCTGGATGGATTGGCCAATGGTCTGGCATTTGTGCCCGCCCTCAGTACTGTGGGCGAGATTTCGGTGAACGAGATCCGTGGACTTTTGGCCTCCACGGTGGAGCAGCTCAGCTTCAACACTGGCATCCTGATGCAGTTGATATACACCGCAGTGTGGCAGGTGGACTGGAACGTAGTCATTGTGGCGGATCAGGTGCATGGAGTGCTCTCCATAGTCTACGGCGCAATAGCCCTGGCTCTGGCCCTAACCCTCTGTGTGGAGTCACCTGTCCACCTCTTGATGCGATCCAGTGAGCAAAGAGCATTGGTTGCCCTGAGGCATCTGCAGAGACCCTATATGGTGACCAGTGAAATGCTACTGAGATTGGATGAACACAAACAGTATGTGGCCGGCAACAGGGAAATGTGTTTAGGAGCGAGTCTGCAGAAAGGGTATCCATCGGTCCTTAAGCTTCTGGCCCTTCGATTGCTGGGAGTCCTGTGCCTGAACTCCATCATCTGCAGTGCTCTCTACGAAACCGGCAATCAGTTGGTGAGCTGTTTGTATGCATGGCCTTTTGTGGTTTTCGGGCTGCTCCGGTGGTGCGGATGCTTCCTTGCGGTGCTGCTGATGGACACCACTGGCCGGAAGAAGCCCACCCTTTTCGGAATCTTTTCCACCGGAGCCTTTGCCATTGCTTATGCCAACTTATTTGGACGAACTCCGCATATGATCACCGCCTTGGTGATGCTCTTCAGTCTGCAATTCCTCGCGAGATTGGGACAATGTGCCTCGGCGGCTTACCTCACTGAAGGCTTTCCTCTGCGGATAAAACCACATATGGTGGCTGCGGTATATATAATAGAACAAGCCGTACTACTGCTCCTCTGCAGCTTTTTACCATCGATCGCTGGAATAACGGCTTACTTTCACTTCCTGGGAGCACTTTCCATGGTGCTATTTCTTCTGGGAATCTTCTGCCTGCCGGAAACTAGACTAGTTACTTTGGCAGAAGCACAGGTCAAGTTTTCCAAGTGGTTCAACAAGGATTTTTAGATATTAATGGGAAGGGGGAAATAAATGTTTGTATAAAACAACAATTAAGAAAGCAGTTTGTTTAATGCAGGTTGAAAAAAATAAGGGAACCCCCTTGTTTTTAACTGATGGAACGATAAGCACATGTGAGTAGTAGTGGGAGTGAGTAGTTGCAGTTTCAGTTGACCACAAATTACAACCAATTTAGCTACGTTTATTCTTGGAGTTATTGCGGCAATATACCGAGAAGCAATCATACATCAGCAAATACAAAAATGATAAATGTCATATATATATGGTATTAATCAATAAAAGTCTGCCTAAAATAAGCAATAATAAAAGTTGTTACCTAAAACTAATCAATTAAATTTAAATTAAAAAAAAAAAATTTCTTTAAAAATCTTATCTGAGCAATGAAGTCGTGTACCACTTCTTAATAATTATATGGCGAGTACCAAATACAGAAGTATGAACCATGATGGACTGCGGCGCGAATGATTAGTCATACAATCAGAATAAAAGGGGAATAACATTTCTCCGGCACTCCTATTGCGTTGTGATCTGAAGAGGATTGTATATAGCACGTATGTACTCCATAAAATATTATTCACAAGCATTGCGATAAACGTCCTTATCGGTACTAAGTTTTGAACCATTTACTGAAATCGCTGCCGCCCCCCTAGTGAATCCGCACTTGATTATCACTTGGGCAAGGCTCGATAGCATTGCACATAAATATCATTTGGCCAGCCCCCGTATTAGCCAGTTTCAAATCGACCTCAAACGGAGCAGGTTGTCTTCGTACCGGAGTGAAATACATACGAGTACAACGCAATCGGAGATGCAGAACGATAAGCTTGCCCCACCGCCAATAGGCTTCTATCCTCCATCAGCACAGCAAGGACACCCTCAGCCAGGACATCCGCAACACATCACGCCGGCAGAGACCTACGGAGGCAGTGCCCCACCACCACCTGCAATGCCTCCGAGGGATCCACCCACCAGAGTGGATCCACCAGCACGCGAAGGATGCTTCCAGCGCAACAGGAAGAACAAACCGCAATCCAATGCTGTGGGCTCGGGTGAGTTCCGCTCCTGGGATCGATCAAGTTAATCACCCTCCTGATGGGTTGACCATGCGGTTAATCTTATCTAGAAGCCCCAGTCGATTATAAGCGATGACGTAACTGCTAGTAGTCAAGCAATATTATATATATATTATTATTAAACACAGTAATTGAACGGCTTATACCAAGTGTCTTGCTTTTCCTTTAATCATGCAATACTTCTTAAGGGACTTTCCTTTAAAAACAATTTGTGAAGTGGCCCATACGATATGGCACAAGCCTAAGTGCTGGCGTTACTAAATAAAATGGTTTGGGTATACTAGATTCGTTAAATAGTTTTGTACAAATAGTAGGAGGCGTTTCGACACTAAAAGGAAAATACTCGTGTGTAAATTCTTGACAAGGATCAGGACCTGTCCGAACTAAAGTTGAGATCTCGGGAAGATTCTGTTGGCCACATTGTTACATGTTCTTCAAGCTAGCAATTATGTAGACTGCAACCCTTGACGGACTGTATAATCTATAAATTCTATCCACTTTCAGCTGGTCTCATCTTCATCTCAGGAGGAATGAACATAGCGTGGGCGATTGGCTTTCGAGGACCAATTATGTACCAATCCACCAAGCACAATTATATTGCCTGGTTCATAGGCGCTATTATTGGAGCCTTGCTTACGATGGCGCTCACCAACAAGCTGGCCAAAAAATATATTCTGGTAAGATGAGGAGCCCTGTTATTACTGTACGTTTATATTGATCCATTCCTTTTCCGCGCAGCAATTTTCCTCAGTCCTGGTGACCATCGGCGGATTGATTATTGCCTGCACCCATAATAATGGAGCTGGAACCACAGCAGCTTGTTACCTAGATGGTATTGCCAATGGTCTGGTATTTGCCCCATTTATGGCCTTAGTCGGAGAGGTTTCCGTACCCTATATGAGGGGCGTGACCAGTGCGTCCTTAGAGCAACTGTGCTTTGCATTCGGTATATTTCTTCAGATCCTTTATGTGTCGAGTTGGACGTATTCTACGTATATATCATACAATGCTTTTACGTCCGAGAATATGAAAGGTTTGGTGAGCACTATCCTCGGCGTTTTTGCGCTTATTATGGGCTCCTTTATGACCATCGAATCTCCGGTTTTGATGCTGGCCAACAACGAAGAACAGGCGGCCATTGACGCACTGCGTCGTCTGCAAAAGCCTGCGGTTCTAACCGAGGAAACTTACGAGCTGCTGGCGGAGCACAAACGTTACTTGGCCTACAACAAGAACATGTCGAAGGGTGAAAGCATTTCCAAAGCCCTGCCCACATTCATCCGACTTGCATACCTACGAGCCCTGAATGCGATGAGCATCTCCACCTTTGTGTTCATCACTTATGGGATTGCGATCATTAACTCCCCCCAATGGATTAGCAAATGCGAAGCCCTCGTTTATAGGATTCGCCTTATGCCGCTGGCTGGGAACCCTTATCCCATCCTTCTGCATGGAGTCCTTGGGCCGAAAGAAGCCCGCTGTTTTTGGCCTGCTCGTGAGCTGCGGTTTGGCCTTCGCCGTGGGTTCGCAGTACAATTTGTATGCGTATATGGACCAAGTGAAAGTATTGCTGATGGTCTTCGAGTTCTTTGCGGGAATGGCCTTCTCGTCCAACTCGGCATACCTGGCAGAGGCATATCCCATGGGTGTTAAGCAGCACTTTATCGGTTTCACTTTCATTACCGAAATATTTGTCTTCCTCATCATAAACATCTGTGACTTTAATTTAACACAGGGGTACAGCTACTTCTATGCCGTGGGAGCCATGTACCTGGCGGGATTCATTCTCGGGGTCCTTACTCTGCCGGAGACAAGGGGGATGACCTTGCGTGGCGCCCAGGAGCAGTTCAGTAGCTTCGTAAATTTCCGCTTTTAAATTTCAGAGCAATTTCAGATTAACAACAACTATTTCGACTATTAAACAGCAGGAGGTCAAAGGCCTCTGTATTCAATAAGTTAACGATACTCATTGTTTTTTAATTATGTAGTATAAATTACTTGGCGTCCAATTCGTTTTCTCGCTTTCTTCATTTTCAAGCTGAGTCATAATGCTTAACAACAGCCATAATAAGTGTTATGATCTTAATACTACCGTATGATAAGACATTCGCAACCATTTTCTTGTGAAATGGCTGGTAATTCTGGTAAGAAATAAAATCCTCTGGAAATTGGGAAGCACCGAAGACCGATTAGTAACCCGCTGAAACTGTTTTAAATGAAGTCAAATCAATGGAAGGCGTCTTTCAGTGGCAATAAAAGCTTATCAGCTTATCAATAACGTATTGATTTAGTATTCAGTTTTCAAAAGGGGTTCCCAACGAACCGGTACTTGCTTGGCTAATCGGCGAATTAGCCATTTCAAACGTATGTGAAATGTTGCAGTTTAGAGTTCTATAGAATGGCAAATATATAACGCCAATGACTAAGCGGTTAAACTCATTTGATTGTATAGCTAAAAAACAGAATATATTTTGAAATTATTTAAGAATATGAAGAATTATAATTAGCCGTTCAAGGGCATTCATTTCAGGGCATTGCATTATCAGAATATTGTAGTAAACCAATTTTCTTTTTAAAATTACATTTTGAATTAATTTTCTTTGCATTAATTGATTTATAATGTTTTGAAACCCAAATTTGTTTCCTCCTGTTTAAAGTTTAGACAAACGCAATTTATTACTTTCTTATCTTTGTATAACACTATTATTGACAAATTAATTGGCGTGCAATGGTTTTCCTTCTTTATTATTAGTCATAATGCTTGATAGCTGCCGTTTTTTAAAGTATTATCTTAACACTACCGTTTGAGAAGCCAATGATATATTTCCCATCTTATTTTGTGTAAGTGCATTACTCCAATCAGTTTAATTGATGTTATATATAAGAAAGCGTGGTAACGTATGGTAAGCCGATTAAACTGATTAAAACGAGCAAAAGCCGTGGGAGGCACCTTTTAGTGGTCAATAAAACCCACGAACACGCTTTGATAAGACACCCTGCCATTATCGCTGACCATTTGCGGCTTATCAATAACGTAGTGATAAATATAATTTCGGTCCCATGGCAAAAAGGTAATTCTACCTTTTCAGTCACAGACCTTCAGCCAGTTCCAAATTGCCCATTTACCGGGACGGTCGAACCTCGAACTAGAAATGGGAATCGACAATTTTTCACAACGCGAACCGCCGCCGATGGGCTTTGCATCTGCGCCACCACAGCAGGGATATCCACGGCAAGGATATCCACAGCAAGGATATCCACCGCAGGGATATCCACCGCAGGGATATCCACCGCAGGGATATCAACATACGGAATTTCGCCAGACAGGATTTCCACAACCAGGATACCCCCAATCAGGATATCCTCAGCCAGGACATTCCTGGAACCCCCCACCACCACAGTCTGGATTTTCGGAGTACCCACCACCACCCCAACAAGGACATCCACCACAGTACTACGGTGCACCACCGCGCTACGGATCGCCACATCCACCTAATCTACCTCCTAATCTGCCCCAGCAAACCACCACGGCAAATAACAGTTGGTACAGTCGCAATCAGAAGAACAAGCCACAATCAAATGCTGTTGGCGCAGGTGAGTCACAGTTAAAGGAGTCATAAGTCAGGGAATAATTTTTTATACAATTAATATTGCATTTTAAGCACAATATTAAGTTTACAATACTTATCCAAGCACTGTTTAATCGCCAGCGGGTCTCATTTTTGTCTCTGGCGGCATGAACATTGCGTGGAGCATTGGATTCCGTGGACTGCTCTACTACAAAACCACCGAGCATAATTTTGCAGCCTGGTTCATTGGTGGCATTATAGGAGCTGTGCTCAGCTGGTTTCTCCTTAACAAGGTGGCCAAGAAGTACGTCCTGGTAAGTAGCACAGTAAAATGTAAGCCACTTCAACTATTACCTACTACTAGACCTTTTCAAACAGATCTTCAGCTCGTTTCTGGTGATGATTGGCGGAATACTGACTGCCAGTACGAAGCATAATGGCGATGCCATGTTGGCGGCTTCCTATCTGGACGGAATCGCCAATGGACTGGTGTTTGCTCCATTCATGGCCTTGGCCGGAGAGGTCTCAGTGTCCTATATGAGAGGACTGGTCTCAGCCAGCATCGAGCAGATGTGCTTTGGACTGGGAATCTTCCTGCAGATCATCTACACCTCCACGTGGAACTCAACGGGCTACCAGTCGTACAACTCCTTCTCGGCGGAGAACATGAAGGGAGTGCTGAGCATTATATATGGATTTTTAGCGCTCATTATTGGCTCACTGCTGTGCATTGAATCGCCGGTTATAATGCTGGCCAAGAACAATGACGAACAGGGAGCTATTGACGCACTGAGACGACTCCAGAGGCCGTATACCCTGACCAACGAAACCTTCGAGCAGCTGGCGGAGCACAAGAAGTATGTGGCCCAGAACAAGGAACTTTCGATGGGCCAGAGCATCGGACAGGCCTTGCCCACCTTCATCCGACTCGTTTTCCTGCGGGGCTTGAGCGCCATGAGCATTTCCAAATTTGTCGAGATCGGCTTTAGGTATTCGCTTAGCAATCCGTATGTATATGGCTCGCCTTTGATGGGTTGGTTAATTGGATTCGGCATTTGCCGCTGGATGGGCAACTTTATAGCCACGTTCTGCATGGAGAGCTGTGGTCGCAAGAAGCCCACTCTTCTGGGACTCATCGTTTGCAGTGTCATGTCCTTTGTGGTGGCAGGCCAGTTCAACAACTTCACCTATAATACCGGCAACACCATAATGTTGTTGGTCTTTGAACTGTTTGCCGGCATCGCCTTTACAGCCACATCGCCATACCTTTCGGAGGCCTTTCCGCTGGAGGTAAAGCAGCACTTCATATCCTTCACCTTCATTGCCGAGATGCTGGTCTTCATAGTGTTGGTCTTGATCAGATGGAGCTTTACTAACGGGGCCAACTACTTCTATGTCATGGGAGCACTCTATCTGTTTGGCTTCTTCTTTGGCATCGTTTGCCTGCCGGAAACCAGAAGGACCACTTTGAGGGAGGCCCAGGATAGGTTCAGCAAATTCATCAGCTTGGGTTTCTAGCTGGCAGAATTCTTATGTTAACGCTTCAGTCATGCCAAAGATAATAAATATTTATCGCTAAGCAAGCACTCCGCGCGTTGTATTTCCCAATCGAATTTTACTTCAGCTATTGATAACATTTACGAACTGTCAACAAACAATTGTCACTAAAGTGTTGGACAATGGAAATCTGAATCGTATCTTTCTCGTACACTACGATAAGAGATTGAGAGTTGGAAGGCGAGAAACTAAGGGTAATGGTTTTACCTGCCAATTTGGACAAACAAACAAATCCCAGAGAACACATAGTTTCTCAGGTATATATGCTAACGAGTGTTGATAGGGAAAAATGAACTCTGAGAGATAGCGAAACCCGAAATATCCGAGCACGCACTTATCAATCAATACCCGATAAGATTATTTTTACCGCCATTGGGTAAACCAAATAACTCACCTACAAGAACGACAAAACGCGGACCAGTAGTCTACGCCGCGAGTTCGACCACAAAAGGTCCAATGCAGACCGATCGGCCATCTCCAGACGATGGATTCCATGTCGTACCCATCCATGGTGATGCGGAGCAGCGCATCCACAGCAACTCCGACCGCCAGCGGGAGCTGATCCTCCAGAATTCTCAGAGTAGTCCTTGCTGCAATCTGGATCTCAGGAATCAGCCGCAGGCTAATGCAGTTGGAGCTGGTAAGAGATGTGCCAATTCCGGATCATTAGTAGTACTTCTAAGTAAAATGCAATCAGATGTGATGTGTTTAGATATTCAGATATTCAGATATATTTAGATATTTAGCTATGACGCGCAATAATACTCTTCTATGTTGATAAATTGTTATTTGGCGGTAATAAATCATGATTTATCTATGAGTTTCCCTATCTTCCTACGTGGGAGTTGAATACGCGTCACATCATTTTGGACAGGTGGAAGTCCAAGTCAGAAATGATTCATTTTCATGGGAAACTGATAGTATCACAGCGGAAACCTGTCTATAAATGCCATAAAAATTGGAGATGTTAATAGAAATGTGACTCATTTTATCATCAAACATCGCTAATTGAATTGTTATATTCAAAACAATACAAAATATTTAACTTTTCTGAAGAAAATACTTGTTCTCCATGACCCGAAATTTAATACGGCAGAAAACCTAATCTTAACTGATAAGATAACGCTATTTGAGTTCTGCACTCTATATGTGTTCAATATGTTAATAACTCGTTTTGTTTACAGCTGCCCTTATATTTCTAACCGGTGGAATTCACATTGCATGGAGCATTGGTTTTGACAGCTCACCTGGCGAACTGGAAGTTACTAACCATATTCGCATTTGCTGGTTTATAGCTGCCATTATTGGGGCCCTGCTCGGTGGATTCTTTAGCAGATGGTTTCCCTACAAAACATTAATAGTAAGATGGAGAAATAGCTTGAATTTTTCGTAATTTAAAAAGCCCTGTACCCATATTTAAATTGACGTTTGTCCCTCCAGGAATTCTGTTCGCTGCTCACTCTCACCGGTGGAATAGTGATGGCGGTGAACAGTATGGATCCAGACGCCCTGCTGGCAGGGAGATATATGAATGGATTGGCCAACGGACTGGCCATCGCACCCACTTTGGCCATGGCAGGGGAACTGTCGGTATTCTACAAGAGGGGCACCACCACATCCGCGGCGGAGCAGTGGCCCACAACGATTGGCATCTTTGTGCAGATCATGTGCAGCAAGAGTTGGGATGTCCAGAGTGAGTTTACGGAGGAGCAGTTCCAGGGACTGCTCAGTGGAGTCCTGGGCGCCATAGCCCTGCTCCTCGCCTTCCTGCTCTCCATCGAATCCCCCGTGGACATGCTGGAGCAGGGCAATGAACAGGGAGCTATCTTA